AAAAAAAAATGACGGGCATATGAGTGAGATACCGTTATTCCAAGCATCAAATAAAGTTGTACGGACCATGACGTGCCATAATATCACAAACTATACCATGCATTACTTTCTCTATGCATGGCTCATGTCATTCTGATATTCCCCCGGCGACCAATCTTCACCGCCATTAATTCCGGCTAACAACCTCAACAGGTCTCCGAAAACAACACATCCTCATACTGCAAAGGTCTAAAAATAAATAACCAATAAAACCAATAGAAGTTTAGAACGGGAGAGATGTTCAAAATAAGAAAAGAAACAAGATACAAACATAAACCTAGTTTGACACAATACGGATACAACTACGAACTACACTAATATGATCAACAAATATTTACAATATAATCGATTAGAAAATGTTGGGGGTGGTGCAAAGTGATCATCCACTCGAGCCATTAGTCACTATTTCAAATAGTCGATCTCTCTAAAATAGTTAAAATTATGCTTTTTTTTCAAATAAGAACACTAAACTCTCGTTTAAAGAACTAGTAAAACAGTGATTGAATATGGAGAGACATTGCTTTCTAGACATATAGTAACAGTTTATACTTTATATATGGCAGTAGTGTACTAATAGTCTAATACCAGTTAGGCCCCATATATTATAACTTCCATCAGTTCTATTACATTAATTATGTTAACAGCTTTCTCTCTCCCAACAAAACAAAGTCCCTGAAATAGTTATCATCTCGTCAGTTTGTCTCTGTCCCTCTATATGTGGCATCTTCTCTATACAAACCCCCTTACATACTCAGAAACTAAAAGTACTACGTCTATTTGGCCTATATAGAAATAAAAGATATATAATGAGAGAGTATTAGTGGATATTCCGGTGATGGATGTCAAATTTTCCGATGATGCGTCAGTTTTCTGGTTATGAACTGATCAGAGCCAGAGAGCTCCAACGTCCTTGAGGAGGGGGACGAGAGTGCCGTTGATGTGGCAGGCCATGACAGTCTCGATGCCACCCAAGAACTTGCCACCGATGAAGACCGCAGGGAGAGGCTGGTGTTTTGGATCGCCGCCGGCGAGGTGGTAGAGGACAGCATGAATTTCTCGGCCGGCAGTGTCGTGGTCGAGCTCGACGATGGTGGGGCCTACGCCGAGGCCGAAGAGGAGCTGCTTCACCACGTGGCACATGCAACAGCCGCTGATAGTGAAGATCACCACCGCGTTGCCGGCGGCGAAGTGGCGGATTCTCTCGTAGATTGAATCCAGCTTCAGTGGCTGTGCTTCAACGATGTCCATCGGAATACCATTTGGTTCTTTCAATAGCTGCATGTTATTGTCTTTCTTGAACTTTGAAAAAGACTTCTCTGATCTCTCTGTGTTTGTATGTGTGTGGGTGCTTAAAAAGCTATGATGAAGATGGATGAAGGAAAAATACTAAAGTTTCGAGCTTAATGAGGTATTGTAGCTCTGGGTGTTCATGTAATGACTCTGTGTGTGTATGAGAGAGAGAGAGAGAGGAATGGGAGAGGAGTGAAAGAGGAGAGATTTGAACTCGTTTCTAGGATTTGAGGAAATGGGGGAGTTAAAAGGGAACCGAGGACAGAAGAAGAGAAAGGAAATGTCAAGGTTTGACTAATGACTAATAGTTTTTAGGGTTTTCTAAAACCCTAATGGAAGACATAGTGGAGACAGAGAGACTTGGAGAGTTCTGTAATATATTTTTTTTTGGTCAAGAGTTCTCTTAGATAATAGTCATGTTATTTAAACTTAAAAATTTGTTAAGTTAATGATAAGACTTTCTATAAAATTATTGAATTAATACTAAATTTTAATATTTGATGGGCCCACATTTAATCTAAATATTATAATAAATTAGATCAACAAATTAAATTAATAAATTAATTTACAATAACATTGCTCCTTATATATATACTTAGCGGGAGGATAGCACTAGATACCCCAAAAAAATTGAGTAATGTTATTTGGACCTTATGGTGTGGTTTTAGTGGAATAATTTGATCAATATCAAGTTTCAATATTTGATAAAATTCACAGTCAATTCAAAGACTATAGTTAATGATAAATACTACATAACTCAAATTTGTAATTCAAATTTGTATTCTAAATGAACGAGAACCATTGAATGAATAGATCTTATAAACTTTTTTAAATAAGACCCACTAATCTAATAGTATTTATTGATTTGGGATACAAATTTAAATTATATAACATTGCTCATAGTTAATTAGGTTGCGATAGAAATGGTCAAAAAAATTTGGTACTATACCTCTAAATAATTTTAGGCATTTTTATCTTTTTTTTAAATTTATTTTTGACAATTAATTATAAAAATAATAATTTAAGATAAAATAATAAAATAAATAATCTTTATACGTGTCAAGTTGTAGGAAAAAAAGAGTTGAACCCATGTGGAACACAAGAATTGACTAGTAACTTAGTTCATCTACTTTGAAAGCTGCTTTATTCTGGGTGTATAAACTAGTTCCAAACCTCAAACTATCAGATAAAACAAAAAGAAACAGACAAGTTCTCTTTTTTTAATGAAAGAACCGTCTCCTCATCTTTGCCCTCCGCATGATTTAAAGAGTCACTATATATATAGATATATATATATATATATATAGAGAGAGAGAGAGAGAGAGAGAGAGAGAGAGAGAGAGAATATATCAGACCTGCAGGGGTATAGGGCTGCAACTATGCCCGGCAATCTCTGACGGCTTTGATCTCTCCTCCTTCCCCCACAGTACAGCGATTTCCTAATCATACATCTTTTACATGCATGCCAAATCATCTACTTTTCCAAAGGTGTATTTGCATGTATTTGAAAAGTCTACGCTGCCAAAAAAAAAAATTGCCACCTTATCAAAAGTTATAATTTTTTATAATAAAATTATACCTTTTATTTTTTTGGTCAATATAAAACTATATATTTGAAAATTAAGGTACAATTATTCAAACGAAAACCAAGCCGATCACATATAATTATTATTGAACTTCTTTTTTATGAATTGTAACTTGACATTTAAAAATTATAACTTGACGTTTAAAAGTTATAACTTTCATGATCAATCATGTTCTTTATAAGTTATAAATTATACCTCAAAAAATTATGTTTTTCGGTACGAAGAGTACCACAGACTTTCCCCTTAAGTAAATGAGAATATTTTTTTTTTTTCAGGCTTTATTATGCAGTGGGAGATGATGAGCTTTGAATATCGTATCCATAATTTCAACAAGACAAACGGTGATCATTAGGCCGACGGTTAACATCATACTAAAAAAAGTTGACTTTAATAAACCTCTACTATATCACCAAGGTCAGCTGAAATTTTGTTCTCACTGTCTCTTAATATCACTTAGAATAATGCTAGACTAGCTAAAAACAAATGATATAACATAAAAACTAAGGGCATGTTTGGTTTTGTTCTGTAAATTTTTATTTTTTTTTTAAAAATTTTTAAAACACCCAAAACTTATTTATTTAACATTTTTGTTCTCAATTTTTTATGAAAAAATGAGAATTGGAAAAAAAAATATAGAAAACAATCTACACTTGTTTTCAGAGTTTTCTTTGAAAACGTTGAAATCACGGAGACAGTTTTGAGTCTTTAATAAGGTCTATCCTTCTCGTCCCCTTGGCACCAAAAGGATTCCTTCCTTCTTTTCTTTTATTTTTCCTTTCTCTCTCTCTCCAGCGTCTCCATCTCCTCTCTCTCTATCTCTCTCTCTCTCTCTTTCTTTGTCTGCAACGACGTTGTGCAACGAAGATGGAGTACCGAAGATCACTATGCAACGAAGATGGAGCCCCTCACTTAGGGCTTATTTTCTCTATCTCCTCTCTCTCTCTCTCTTAACAATTAAAGTTCAGGTCTACATAGATCTAAAGCACAAATCTGTAGATCTGAATTTGGGTTTATATTTGTGTGTGTGTGCATGTGTGTGTGTGTGTGTGTGGGTGTGTGTGTGTATGTGTTTATGTGTGTGCGTGTGTGTGGGTTTTGTGAAGACAGAGAGAGGAGAAAGAAAGATAGAGATAGCAATTGTGGATTTTGTTTGCCTAAACAGATTTTATAATTTTTTATTCTTTAAAATTATTTTCAAAAATATATAACCAAACAAATTTTACAATCTAAAAATTTTCAAAAATACTTTCTTAAAATTTTTCTCAAAAACTATTTTCAGATACTGTTTTTTGAGATACAAACTAGTCAGACCCTAAATAATGTGGTAGCTCGCATGATAATTAAAACTTGAATATTAAAATGAGTAAAAGTGGGATAAAAAGTATCATTATTGCAATGCAAAATAATTTGCTCCTTGTGCTTGGTATCTATTTTTTAGTCTCATTTTTTTTATCAGTCTAAGATTATTATTTTTATTTATCGTTATATGAAAGTATGGTTTAAAAATGCATTCTTTAAAATAAAAATATTTTTACAAAGCACGTAATTAATGAGAAAAAGTTCAAGCATATTTCCTAAACACGTATTACATGTTTAAAGAACAAACAATTAAGCTATAAAATCAAAAAAAAATGAGAATAAAGTTGCAAAATTAGGATAGAATGGTCTAAAATTCAATTTAATAACAAGTTTTTATAAATATACATACCATTAGGTAATAAACAAAGAAAGATTAATGTCACACCGATAAAGAAATAAGAAATAAGAAATAAAACAAATGGTGTATTGTTGCCATCATAAGGTTTTTTTTCTTGCATTTATTTATTTATTTAAAATTTAAAATTTAAAATTTTGCTTGTCACCCATAAATTCTACGAAAGATTTGCCCTATAAAATGTTTTGAGACCGACCCATATATCTAGGGACGGAGGTAGGAAAAAGTTTTAGAGTAGGCATATTAACATGTTTAAATTCTTTTTTTCAATTGACTATAGAAGTTCATAAATTTATATTTATTGAAATTATATTTAATACTTAAAAGTTTGATAAATATAGAAGATTAAAAACTCATGCATACATGAGCAAAAAAAAAAAAAATTCAAATTTTTTATCAAGAATGAGATTAATTATTTTTGTTTTACAATTGACCCTAATATTTTCATGTTACAAATCAATCTTATTAACAATATTTCTTTTATATATATAAATTATGGTAACAATATTTTATTTTTGATTCTATAGTTTAATACATAACAACATATATTTTTACACAATAATAAAATAACTCTATAATTTAAAAAAAAAAAAAACTCAAATATATTTAAAACATATTTGGACATGTTTGAAACGTATCTAAAAGTTAACGCTAATATTTGTTGTACTTAATTTGATACTTAATTGGTAAAGATTCAATGGTTTGTGATTATTTGATAGATAATGAATGTTATTAAATATTGAAGTTCACTATTTTTTTTTGGAGAAGGGGGGGGGGGGGAGGGGGAAGGGCAAGGGCAAGTGGTAGGAGAACTTGAACCCTTGACCTCAAGAAGACAAATCTATTACAACCCTTAGACTTAATATCACAATGCATTAAGTCATTAAATTAAATTTCAATAACATTACTCGAAAAGCTAACAATCATTTATATAAAAGTCTATTAAAATTGATATTATCAAATTACACTAAGGGGGTGTTTGTTTGAATTATTAGAATGGTACAAATGGAGTGGTATTAGGGAAATAGTAAGTAAGACACACCTTATATCTTGTTTGTTTGACATTTTATCATTAGTACTATTTTTCAGGTCGTAATACCGACCCGACATGAACAGTGACTTAAATGTCTTATATACGGTGCTTNCTCATGCATACATGAGCAAAAAAAAAAAAAATTCAAATTTTTTATCAAGAATGAGATTAATTATTTTTGTTTTACAATTGACCCTAATATTTTCATGTTACAAATCAATCTTATTAACAATATTTCTTTTATATATATAAATTATGGTAACAATATTTTATTTTTGATTCTATAGTTTAATACATAACAACATATATTTTTACACAATAATAAAATAACTCTATAATTTAAAAAAATATAAAATAACCTCAAATATATTTAAAACATATTTGGACATGTTTGAAACGTATCTAAAAGTTAACGCTAATATTTGTTGTACTTAATTTGATACTTAATTGGTAAAGATTCAATGGTTTGTGATTATTTGATAGATAATGAATGTTATTAAATATTGAAGTTCACTATTTTTTTTTGGAGAAGGGGGGGGGGGGGAGGGGGAAGGGCAAGGGCAAGTGGTAGGAGAACTTGAACCCTTGACCTCAAGAAGACAAATCTATTACAACCCTTAGACTTAATATCACAATGCATTAAGTCATTAAATTAAAT